CTCCAGGTCGAACGAACCATTTTAAAGAGAGTTATGGCGAGGCGACGGTTTGCGACGACTTCCGACCGTCGCAAACCGTCGATTGAACAAACGACAGGAGCGGTATTGTAAGCCTACTTATTTTTCCAGAATGTAGCTCTCATCATAAGTCATATATTAATTTAAATTCAGAATAATTAGTATAAATAAGAAAATACGCTTTCATTTGTAGGTGAATTAAGGATTTAAAAAACTTTTTTTCGTATTCGATAGGTAAGATGAAGCAGTGCTCCGATGGTGTAATCGGTAACACTACTGCTCGGAAAGGGGGAGGTGCAGGTTCGAATCCTGCCTGGAGCGAAGTTTAGCTCATATCCCAACATACTTGTAAAAAGGCGTTGCTATCTGAATTATGGACTTATCCCTTACAGTAAGACTTGCAGTAATACCGTATCGCTTGATCGTAAACCTTAACCAACAGGTTTTCGCCATCAGAATTCTGATCTTTCATCTACAAAGTACATTTTGAAGGTGTCGCCTCTTTAACTGCAGTTAATCCAATTCTGCTGGAATTAAAATATAAGCAATAATGTTAGAAAACTGCTTTTTGAATTACCCAGTAATTTTAATTTCTTCATTTTTCCACAAACTTTAATTGTTGGTCGTAATGAATACCCTTACCCAGGAAGGTTTGCGTCAGGCCAGGTGCGAAGTGGAAAAAATAGCTCGGGTATTTCAAAAATAGCACAGGTACGGTAGAGTAAATGGCTTACCATTTGATGTTATGATGGCTCTTATGCCATCACCGAAAAGGGCTGGAGAACTAACTTCTCGCAATACCCGCCCCATTCCAGTTTAGGCCGATGTCAGACTTTGTGATTAGAGCTATTCGCTAGCGTCTGCGGTCGCGTCGCTGCCAGTGGAGCACTCTATTGGTCATTTAACGCGACCGCGAACGCTAGCGAATCGCTAGTAGCGAATCGCTGGATTCGCAAAGTCTGACATCGGCCATATGCCTCTCGATGGTTGGCACTAAACTTGTGACATCCTTTTCGAACGGTGTTGCTTTGATGTGGATGTGGAGTTTGTAAACTTCGTTGGCGCTCACATTCGAAAAATATTCGGAATTTTTGGAAAATCATACTCGAGATAGTTTAACCCTCCCATTTATCTGGTTATCTGTTATTTATTGATTTTCGTATTCGTGGCACTTAACGGACACAAATCAGCTCGTGACAAAAGCGTCATTGTCACTTGAAAGCAGGATGAATAAGGTCGAAGAATTTCTCGACGATGGCTCTATGCTGTGCGAGAGTATTGTCAAGAGTTAATGTAGGCGCGGAGGGCACAGACGGCTAGCAGGTGGCGAGAGTGAATGTCCGCGCGGGAGGCGTGAAAGAACGGGCAAAAATTCTAGACGAGCCGTTGCCGTTTCCACGAGCGATTTTCACCCTGCTTGAAAGTCATATCTAAAGGGTTAACTGAAAGAAGAAGGAGGGAGCGAACCTTCTAACACCATCCGATTTCCTTTTACAGCTCTCGTTACCGTTTTACGGTGGCATAGTTACATTTGTCGCTCTCTTCTTTTTTATGCCATCTTTTTGATCGGGGTTAAAGAGGTCAGATCGGGTCCTGCGGTTTCTTCTTGAAAAAAATTGTTTTTGCGGATCGTACTAAAAGAAATGGAAGATAGCCATTATTTCGTGTGGGGGGGGGGGAGGGGAGGTGGGTTATATGTAAGTTAGCCACTTACAATGCTCGGAGCTAAGGCTTAGAAAGGAAAGGGATTTTGGGGTGGACGTGAGCAGTTTTCGTTCTCCATGATGTGTCTCCTCTTTCCCGGGCTCGGTGTACAGGCACCTGCCAGCTTTCAATCTCCTGTTTTGACTTTTCTCCCTCCCTCCCTCCCTCCCCACTCCCTCTTTCCCAAGGCCATGAGCGCGGGTAAGATTTTTTCTATCCTCAAACTTATGCACTCACATCCTCAGAAGCCATTTACGAAACCCGTCATCGATGCTGGAACAATCCGAAGTACAATGGGCAGTGATTGAAGAAAAATAGTGCAATTGGTGCTCCATTCGTGGAATAGGCTGGGTGGGAGAGAACCTTCAAGATGGTAGTTAGAATTGCTCTGTTGAGGGAATGAGGCGGAGAAGTACCTCCCAACCCAGCCCTTAAGTGATCATTTTAGTGAGAAGTGCAAAGTGTGGTCGAGCATCGTCGTGAAGAGGTGCGCTACGTGCAATGCCTCTGGACCCTCCTTGATAATTTCACTTGCACGGCAATTACGTTGTGGTTGTTGCTAATCTCTTGAGCCAATGACTCAGTTGTAGAGCGATCGTCTGAAGGATGAGTGGCCAAATTCTACCACCAATTCATTCGGGCTCCCAAAGCGAATCCTGTCAGTGGTGGTAAAGCACTTCGTATGAATCAAAGGAACTATTCTTGAGTGATCCCCTTATCAGATCTGAGACATTTTCCGCACATGCCAGTGATAATTCTAGTTTTCTGAATGCTTTCCTCGCCCCTCTTGGGAGCAGGTCATTTCCAGTTAGAACTTTCTCAGTGAAGGATCGTATTTTGCGATTTTAGTGAGATGGTGTCAAGTGAACCTCGATATACGATCCAGGGGGCACACCATCGATCGTTGGTGAGGGAGTGGTTCCACAGGGGACTCGCCCTCCCTCAGAAGGAAGGGAGTCATCGAATCTCAAAAGCTTTCCCAACATGAAGGTTGGTCTTGCTAGGGGCTGTAAAGCTTAGAGAGCTTCACCGGCATGGAGAAATTCTGTAAAAGCCACTATTCCCAAAATATGGGAATATCTTGAGGTTCTCGAAGTCTCGTACTGTTAAGGCTCCACTTGTGCTGTTGTCCTGTGAGAGATCGCACTTTGAAGTGACTTCCCAGCGAAGGAGATAGGAAAATGGTGACTTCTAGAAAATCACGTGCGCAAGTTTTTTCTTAAGTTCATGAATAATTTGTAGCTTTAACCTAACCCATAGGTTTTGTTTGAATTTGCGTTCAAGGAAATTCACGACTTCATCAAAAATTGACGTCACAGCTTTTTGAGGTTACTGGCCAGTGTTTTCCTTTCTGAAAACGGCTGAACTTGCTCTACGAATTCGTTTTTACTTCGGAAATGCGGTAGTACATCCAACTTTATTTCATAGCGCCATCTCTTTTAGGTTTCTCGCCATTCTTCTCCCCTGCTGGACTATGTAAAGTCAATGTGTCTTTCATTCCAATTAAGCCAAAATCTAACCTGGAACACGGCTGATGTCCCTTGGGACATTACTGGGTTAACGTCTTTGCGATCAGGGGGGGGGGCGTTGATGTGGTTAGGCTTGGTCGTGGATGGAGGAAGGAGGTCGTTTTGACGAGACAGAATCTCCACCGATCCTACGGCTTTACGAGGGATGCATAAAAAATATTTGCGATAACGGACCATTAACAATTTTTGTAACCAAAGAGTACTTTTTATTTCATAGCCCCCGCAAGACATTGTATATCATATACAAATTGCCACCACGATTTTGAACGAAAGTAGAATGCGTGGCATATTCTCAAGCGGGATTGATCAACGCTGAAAGCCTCATCCTTTATCCTTTATTCCCCTTAGCTCGACTGTCATTTTGGTGGAAGGATGGTTGGCCCGTCAAGATAAGAAATGTCACCCATTTCGTCGAGGCCAACCGCTTCTCCCCAAAATAATCCTCGAGCCGGGGGGGGGGGGGAGAGGGTAGGAGGGGAATGTGGCCAGAAACAGCATGTGCTCTAATTTTCCCTTTTTGATGCATTCTGACCTTGTGGGTGCTATAGGGGGCGGTATTTTCGGCCGAAACATCTCTACCCAGTTGTCTATGATATCGATGACTTATTGAGCGCCCAGTGGGAGAGTTGGTCCCTGCGAGTGATTCCAGGTGGTAGCCTCTCATTTCAAGAAAATACAGTATATTTGAACTTATCGTCGATAAAACCCAGTTGGGGTTTTTTTTTGGAGTGGGACACTTTTGTCGACAAGAATCCGACCACCGTTTTCAGAAAAAGCTTTTCCTGTACTCAGCGCTGAGTGGGAACCTCTGTTAGGACCTTGCCGATTGAGCAACGTAATTTAAGTGCCCACCCATGTCGCAGAGACGTTTTTCAGACTTTCCTTTTCCGTTCTTGCGTAATCAACGATTCGTTCTCGAAAAATGTCTACGATGCGTGCAATTCGGTTGCATTCTTATTCAAAAGGCCATTAAAAACAGCATTTTGGCTAAATTTCGTGCACAGCCGGCGATATCCGCGCATAACTGAGCGCACGTTGGCGCTATGCGTTTGGAAATGGAGCTGATGGTCAAACGTTCAGAAGGGTTGCCTGGAAATATCATTCAATGAATTTAATCAATTCTCGATTAAAACCGTTCCTTTCATCGATACGTCGTTTCGAGGCGATTTGATAACGGCACAAATCTTTTGTTTGTTCTTCAGTGAAAGCGTACAGTACTGGACAGGTTTGGCACATTGCCAAAAGGACAAAATGTAGAAGATTTGTGGAGAGGTGCAAGATCGACGATGTGCTTCTGCTCAAAGAGTGCAGGAAATTCAAAAATATTGAATTATGATAATTTTATCTATTTCTTATTTTACGACTCCCGGCGTTCGGAATTTCCCAAGGGAGAAGTGATTTGCCCTCACAAAGGCCTTTCAAGGTGCGCCGCACATTTGACTGTCATACTAATGAGAAGTTATCTGGCCTGTACCATGAAGTTATACGATCTCTGTATCATCGCAGGCACAGTGATAATCATTTACAATAATCGCAAAGTTTTTCGAAGGTCGGGGTCAGAGTCTGCGATTCTAGGAAGCCGCGACTTCGCGATTGTGCAGATCAGATACGTATCGATCGAACATGCGATTGCCCCCGATTGCGTGATCGATATGTATCTACTCCACATT